TTACAGTAGTTAGTAGCACGAATACTTGAACAGAACAGTTCTGTTCAAGTATTCGTGGTTCGTAGTTTATTGTAGGATTTCATTATTGTTGCTCTCTCTGTAAAAAGTGTTTTCAACAATATTATAACCGAAAAATGGGTTAATTTTGGTTTCTTCGTTATAGTTTATCAAAAGTCAAATATACCTCAGTGACAAATATTACGCGTTCGAACAGACGAGTAACGCGGTATAAGTAACTGTTCTGAGAAGAAACTGTGATTTATCTTGCTGTTGGGAATCTTGAAAGGTCATCTAGAACAATGTGTTGTTTGTGTTGCAATACATTAAAAACTACAATGTGATTCCTGGACAACTTTATTGATGTTTAAAGATGTAACTATTCTGATTGGGAAACGATTGTGGTACTTATCTCAATACCTCACAACTTCACAATTTTATTGATTGCTTGTATTGTTATCTTAGTAATTTGTCATGACCAATAAGTTTGCTGAATAATGATATAAAAGTGTGGATGTATGTATACTTAAGATTTATCAATTTGCATATATGTAACTAGAAAAATAACAATCAGCTTAATTTACAAAGTGGTTGCCAGTCAAAAATATCGAATTGAAAGGAAAAAAAGACTGATCGCTTAAGCGTAGACCACAGAGGTATTAGGGACCTTCCGTATATAGGCAGCAACCTTTTTCATAGTACAACAATGAAGAGTTACATTGTAGAGATTTAGTGTTCTATCAGCTTTTATAGTTTGGTAAACTAGAATGAAAAGTGTAACAATGTTTGTACATTCGATGAAATGTTCATTCAACACAGTTCTCTTTTAGTGAAAAGTTGCATACGGGACCCATATAGATTGAATGTAGGCTGCAGCATTCAAAGTCTATGATGGCAGCTATCACATTAAAGAGGCATCAACAAGTTTTTCAAAGGTAGGTTAACCAAAGATAAAGGAATTTTCAATCCACGTGAAAACGTTGTTAGTAATTTCAGTCCATCAAATTTGAGGCAACCATCATTGCAAACCATCAGAATCTTCTCTGGAATCTTGTTCAAAACAAGATGAATGGCATCTTGGCATTCAAAGTCAACAATGAAAATTAGAAACACGGAACTAGAGATTAACCAATATCCCTCTTCCTGTTCAAAATGTACGCTAATTATACAGGATTTCTCAACCCATCCAATTTTGACTATTAGCAACTGACGGTAAATTATAAAGAAAACAATTGCAAACCACTAAAACCTCCTGAGGAATCTCGGTGGAGAATCTCCGCGAAGGTCGTCTACGGACTGTCGCAGAGTTGACCGAGGGAAGGTCGAGTGAAGCTGGAGATAATTAAGGAGATGTGAGACAGAGGTGGACAGACAGTGGCACATCACCTTCAATCACACATTTACATACAAGCAGACCCTGGGACAAAGCCTCACCGCCTGCCACTGACTCTGCCGTCGTCTTTGTGAGGTGAAGAAACAGATACAGAACGTGAAGATGCTCAGATAAGGCTAAACCTTAGAAGGGGCATTTCAGCGTTGCCTTCGAAGAAAATGTTAATTTTCACCATAATTCTGTTGGGGGATCAGGAAAAGTGTGAATTTCTTCTATGTCAAATCGTATGATGTATTCTTTGAGGATCGGGGTGAATAGAACTTGAAGATAAATCCAAACCATGGAGGGGATTTGGAATACTAGCATTGTTCTTCTTCTGATGATGGAAGAAAATGTGTCGGTACTCGAGAACAAATGTAGATCTTGCGATATTGTTTTGACGTCTTTACTCTATGAGGAAAGGCAGACAAAAATTGTGAAGCTGCTCATATAAGTTTAAATGCTGAAAGGGTTTGAGCATTTCAACATTGCCAGCTGATGATGCTCGAGGAAGATGCTACTTTGACTATCAGTCCCATAGCCCAAATATTGACCCAAGACCACTCACTACCCAAGACTAATATTGATCTTGCATTATTCTCCTGTATCTTAATATTGAGCCAATTCCTCTACAGTTTTCTTCAAGATGAGGAAACTGATAGAGAACTTGAGGTTCAATAACTGTAGCAATGGCATTGCTGAAAGCTAAGAAAACTTGTTTAAGGATTTGAAACGTTTAGGTTTACTCTTATGGTTTGTAGTTTTAATGCACATGCACACTTATCTGACTCTTGGTAGGAATTAAATAGAGCGGAATAACTGCAACTATTGATTATTGTGTTGAATTTAATTTCCAGAAACTCAAGCATTGTTCAACTTAGAATTTCCAGGTCGTCACGCCAGAACAATATCATCACTCGCAGCTTCATTCATTCATCACATCTCCTCGTCCCGCCCAGTTCTACACGCAGTTTAGGCGATGTCACAGTATAAAGGTTCTCTTCAATTTCCATCCAAGGCACAATGGTATGACGTCACACGCCTTAGGCTTACTCTCATGAGCTCCGCAATTCCGAGCGAACCGATTATCCCCTAAATACCTGCGGCACTAGCAGACGACAATACTTATGGTGTCTAGTCGCAGAGTGATTGAGCAATATCAATTTTCAAGAGAACATGTTGATGACTATGTATGAGAGCGTTTCTGTCTACAAGGATAATTGAAAGCCTTCAAAGCGTGTTTCCAAAATTTCCTGCTCCACGTTAATCCATTTTCTTCCATACACTAAAAGAATATTTGAATCGTTGGGTCGTGGCGAGATGGTATAGAGCCTGCATCCAGGCGAAGACTGTATTTTGTGAGTTGCTGAATATTGGGGAACGAAGGCAAATCTATGTTAATTTATTCATACTGTAATTAACCTTTCTGTAAACATTGTTTGTATGGCATGTTATTATAATTTATTTACAGTTATTTACGACTGCAGCACACTATATACCCTTTCAATCTGACTGGACGAAAAACAATCAATTCGCCCCTAAAGTGTTTAAAGCGTTGTAGAAGAAGTTGCAAAACTGTCTAACCTTATTGGTTGACGCAAGACCGCCATGAAGCTTCGTAGTCGTGTAGACGTCCTGGAACCTCGCAGGAGGCTATCTAGGGTCAGAGTTGAGGCTATGTAGACCGTTTACTGATAGTGATAATGAGACAGTGGCAAGACTGCGCAAGTCCAGTACCAGCTCTGATATACGGCGCTCAGCCATCCAACGTGTCGGCTGGGGGAGTATCTGGTGAAGAAAGAGGTGTTTTCTTCCTCTAAAGTTTGTTGTTTTTTGACGTTTCTGTGAATTTTGTTGTTGCCATTGTTGCTGCTGTTGTCGTTGCTGCAACGTTGCTAACGAATATTTTAAATCCGGCTCATCAGATCGATAGATTGTAAAGAATTTAGTTATTGTGCCGTCAAATATCTTTCACCTGTGATTTGAGAAATGCGTAAAGTTCAAATTCTAAAATAGCTATTGAAAAACTGGCACTATTAATAGCATAGGCTTTGGCAATTCATAAACAGAAAATATGATTAGTATAATCACTTAGATTTCTTAGCCAAAGTAGAGAAATCACAAGTTATTCTTAAAACGCTGACAATGGATTATTTCTGGATCTTACTACGTTATATGCCTAAAAAAGATTGCAAAGCTACTGTAATTTAGTTATTTTACTAATATTTGGAAACAACACTTCGTTCAAAAGGTAGGTTAATCCTCCTGAGAAATATTGGTGGAGAAGATCTACAAAGGTCAATTTCAAGAAGAAACGGGTCACTCAATAGCAAGCGTGTATTTAGTGTATATTTTAGTGTAGAAGCATTGTTGCTCGTAACCCATCGAGGAGAATTGCGCATACAATCAGGTGAACGTACGAAAAGTCAAGAGAGAGATAGAGATAGAGTGAGAGACTGAGATCCAAATGGCCTTGAGATGGTTCCGGGACAAATGTACGCGGTTCCCATGTCATAGTAACGTACATAACGTAGCGCTGATTTATTTCTTAGAGTTATTTACTGTCTTGCTGACATACAACTTAATGGACGCATTGACTTAGTTCTTTCATTTCAAAAGGTATTACCAAATGCATTCTAATTATGGAGATTCCACAACTTTATGTATTTCTTTCGTGTTCTTGCCTCCCTAGTGATTTCTTCTTCACTCACAATCTCACGTAAATTCGACTAACCTTTTTTGTACTCTTTAATGGTTTCATCTGTGTAATTTGTTAGGTCATGTGTTGTTGTCTATACTTTTTAATTTATCAAAATATTTTTTATGGTACCAGTTTTCATGTTCCCTCCGGTTATAGTGAGCTTGCCATGATTCTCAATCCATCAAAGTATTATTTTAGTGGCAGGCGAGGATACATTTTTATGACAATCCATGGATTGCAATCGGCAACGAGTTTCGGAACAAACTGATATCCTCAGGCTAAAGTATGCATTTACATTTTATCACCTCCTTTTTCAGCGATTAAAAACATTGCTCTTCAGCAGAGGTTAACAAAGATAATACATCTCCAAATACAGCCTGAAGATTTAATTTTGTGTTGAAATTAGAAGCTCATTGCAATAAAGAAACTTCTGATGACCATTAGTAGATGTTTATACAATGTTCAATAACTAAGTTCAATAAACATTTGATGTATAAATTGCGAAATATTCCTAATAACTCACCAATCCACTACTCAACAGACGACGTTCCCACAGTCAATGCCACAACGCAAGCGTGTTGTCCACGCAAGCGCACCAACCCAGGATAGTATTTCTCCCGCGACTGCGCAGGATGATTATTACCCATAATAGCATCGTTTTCATCAATATCCAACCGTCTTTTAAAGGTTAGTTGTTGTGGCCAATTGGGTCGAGCAGTTACGCTGTTGACTGATTCATTACAAAGTGTTTAGCCTTTGGAGGCCACCAGGCATCTTCATGTGGGAATTCTTTTGTGACTTATTTCGTTGTAACTTTGTGTTACTGTGTAATATTTTCCAAATATACAGAAATTGTAATCTAAAGTGATTAACTCATCAACTAACTGTTATTTTTCGCACAAAGTTCTGATAATATTTCTTTCTTTTCAGTTTTCAAGCGCCATGAGTTGTCCATGCACCATATGCCGTCAGCGCCGACTCCCAACATTGGCTTTTCAAAGGTGGGTGTTTCAATATATACCATATGGACTTTGTTTGCTGCGTAACAGTTTGGTAAACATGTAATAACTATTTTTAAACCAGCCTATGTTTTTGATATCATAAAACAAAACATACTGACTAACATTCTGCTGTGGTATCCTGTTAGGAGTTAAGTCAAGAATTTACAAAACAATCATGTGGTTATTAAATCTATGATTCTGCGAGATGTATGGCTATTGGAAAATATTCAAACTGTGGGCAAAGGATGAATGTTACAGTAATGGCATGCACATTTACACGTTCGTTAAACGAAAGATTGTATGCGTTAGCAATCAGATCTTTGGAACCAGAAACCTTCGTTTAACCAGTCGTTAAAATCTTACACCGATTCCATTTGTAAATAATTCCAATAGACCTATTATTTTCAAATTCAACAAACTTAGTTATTGAAATTACTTTAAACGCAAAAAAGTACCCCATACCAACTATTTAATATTATTACTGACTATTGCACACAACTTTAACTCCAGGACGCGGTTTGGTAGAATTGGCAACGTCGCGAGTAGTGTTTAGCGTTAGGCTTCCCATAAGCTAACATGGCAGACAGGTGGAGCCAGCTAATTTAATTGCGTGTTATTCACATAAAACACTACTGACAGTGTTGCCACATCGAACGCCATGGTCTGGAGTAGGTGGCTTTGCTATTGCACCATAACGAATGAAAAAAAGTCTAATAAAACGTTACAACGAACGTTTATCAGCTGATTGCAGGAGGGGCACAATTTTGTTGTGATTACACCTTGATAAAGGGTTGGGCTGACCCTCCCACAACCTGCATCCCCCCCAGAGTAAAAAACTGAGAGGGCGGATCAGAGATTAGGGAGGATAAGACGGAGATAATTAATGTTTATCGGGATTGTTTGGGTACGTATTGTGATGACTGGACAATATTGAACAGTGCTGGCGTTATTGAATAACAGTAATACGGTAGAAATTAATTCGATATGCAAAGGGGCAATGCCTTTATTTGCGTTGTACAAAAAGTTTTTGCAAGGAAGTATGTAAGAGTTGAGATGAAATTCAGTTGTATTGTGATGGAAACTAGTTTCTATTTTTTCTGATTTGTTATGTTTGGAACACCACCACATCGATTCGGATCTCAAATGGGTCTTCGCCATAAATAAAGAAAATAGCTTCATTATCTTACACACATAGACTAACAAATTAATTATGAAACATATTTATAAACGTGATATTTTATTAAAATACGTTAAAAATGCAGCACTATGCTAGTGCTGCGTACGTATAAAAATATAAAAGCTACCACTAGTATACACTACTTTAAAGTAAAATTCAATTTCCATATTTTTCCATATTTACCATATTTTACCATCATTTTCCATATTCACGTGTTAGCAACTTACCATGAAATAGCAAATTTCTCTGCATTTTCTTAACAACCAATACAAATTATCCCTAAAAATTCAAAATTCGCAACACAAATGATCTCTTAGCATCGAAAATACCCAATAAAATCCATCCAAAAACATAGAAAATACACAATAACTAGATATCTAAAATGAAGAATACACAAAACAATAAATCCATAAACATAAAAATCCTCAACCCAGTTTACCAGTAAACATCGAGAATCCACAATACAACAGATCCTGAAACTCAAATATATACAATGCAATATATTCCTAAACATCCAAAATACACAATGCAATCCATCGCAAAATTATCTAAAATGCAATAAAATATATCCCTAAAATTTATAATACACAATACAATGGCCCCAAAACATCGAAATCACACAATACAATAATACAATCTATACCAATATTTCAAAAAAGCACAATTAAATAAATAACTAAACAACCAAAAAACATCCTAAATTCCTCATAGGGTTAATCCCTCCACAACAAATCGCAAATCTAGTCAGTGTTATAATCACATCGATGGTTATAATAACCCGTTAAACTTCGATATACCATTGCTAGAGCGGTCGTAGCTCTATTAAATACTAATGCGTTTATAACCCATCAAAGAGTAACCGTTGATGAGTTGGAACGCAAAAACACTAACCAGTTACAAGAAGATATCGGTTTTTTACACCATGTTTCGACGCCCTAACACGAGAGACCGTTTATAGCCGCCGTAACTCCTACAAGTGTTTTATTGACGTAATCGTAAGTGCGAAGACTCTTTGTCTTTGAAATTGGGAAAATCGTTGAAGAACTTGATCCACAAAACTGTATAGGCCTACTTGCCGAAGGGACCTTTTAGGTATTAGCGGAACAATTTGATTGAATCATAATAATAGTGATAGTCAATGACTGCCCTTATGGTTGTTTCCAGATCGACTACCATGGGTAAGCTTAGCTGAATTTGAGGACCAAACTCAACGTCATTCCAACCAAAAATAAATTGTCTCTGTAAGGTGGTTTTGGAACTCGGTTTCAAATTTGGAATTTGATGGTTTTAACGAGATCAGGATTTGGAAAGTCCCCTTACAAAAGATGTAACAATTGCTTTTGACAAAAATAATTAGAACCCAAACGGGATGAAACAAAAGGGGACGGACATTCATCTCCAGGGTTAAAATTGGTCTGTGATTTACCTACTTTCCACAGAATAATTGTCTATCCTTTATAATTTGGGTGCACAAGGTTAGAAAAGGTAAGGTTTGAGACCCAACTCTAAAGAACCATAAGGATTTACAGTTTTGTAAATCCTTACAACCTTAACAGGTTTGTGATTAGAAGCAAAGTGTTTCCTTCAATTTAAATAAATGAAAAACTCCACGTTATGAATGGTGAAGTTAAAAATCCCAAACTCACATTTACCTCCGCTTTAGTTCTTGGACTGTCAGTTTCTAAAGATAATACAGCTTAGTGTAGGTTGTCCAACATCACCAAAATATTCTATCACCGAGCCAAGGTTATTAAACCATGAGACAGATTGTCCTTCAGTCCCAATAAGCATTGAAGTGTTCAGACCGACCGTCCCACATACGTTCGTGACGTAGAGGACCCAGTGGTCCAGTGCAGGATAATTTTGTCAGTTTGTGAACAAGTGATTTCGTGGTGCACGCCACAGCCATCTCGCACGGCACGAGCACCCAATCATATCACACGACGCTCGTCAGCTGACTGTCGATCAGGTGATTCAATCAGCTGTTCACACCTCTCAATCCTACCACGTGATTTTGTGGATGTTGTATTGGATGGAGTAGGAAACGGTGTTGATGTTATACTTTCGAGACTTAAAGATTATGAATTGTATCTGATTTGAATTATCTTCCCATTAAATGCCATTAAGATGTAATCAGACAAGTGAAAAATAAACATAAAAGCTGCTCCAGCTTACAGACTACACCTAACTATGTACGCACTCTTGATACAAACAGTTTAATTTGATCAACGATTAGGCTTAATAAATAATAGTTGTAACACAAACACACACACTATGGCAATGTTTAAAGATAAAATTATCTAATTTTCATTATAATTATAACCAATTCAATTTCATTGGGTAGGTTGACAACCTCAACCATCAACACAAACAACGTTTACAAACACAACCAGTGTCGAAGCGCTCACGGCCACCCTATCTATCACCCGCTCTACATCAGCTAGCCCTAATTAACTACCCGCCTATTATAATAATAATTTCAAATAAAAACAGAGGGAGTTAGGGGTCAGGCGGTTCGACCTCTGGTCGTTCCCACGCGTAAACTGGATGAAGCGGTAATCGGCCGGCACCTGCCTGTAGTCTGCTGTAATGATAGACACACATTCACATTAGAGCGACCCCCCACCCACCCACATACCTCTGTGACTTACCCGGACATGGGAATTTACAAATTGGGGGCTTGGAAGTGGTCCACTCGGGGCTGATTATCATATCCCGCGATTAAGAAAAGGTTCTGGAGTTTTGGTGAAAGGGTTATTGGATTTTTTAGGTATGTCACTGGTTAGCGATATAGAGGTATAACTAATGTACCAATATTAGGTGTAACGATGATCATATTTGATAACTAATAACAAATCGGGCCTCGGGGGCTTTAGGTCCAATTTAAAGAATCTCATATAGGACCATGGTTATGAAAGGGGGTGAAGAGATTATTTATTCATGGTAGACGGTTTTGCATTCGCCTATTGGGTCTGATGATTGGAGTATACAATTGAAATCGATCACCATTGCAATGTTTTATCAATATTTGTTTCAAGTGTTATTAGAATACTTTTATGTACTTTCCGTAAAGCACTTAAGATACGGGTTCATCAGAAAATCCGTCGAAATCAAGAAGCTTAGGTGATACGTATTTTCTTGATATTTGACTTTATAACATTAATCAGATTTTTTGAACTAAATACCACCTCTCCACATTACTTTCGTGCTTGGACGCAAGGTTACCGCAAATGTGAATTCACAACAAATACACTGCCACAGACAATGATGCAAATTTAATGTACCACAGAGATTTTTTTATATTTAAGTTCTGCAGCAAACAGTCTACAAATTGAAAGTAACACAAATAACTTTCAATACATCAAAAACAACTCACCTTTTCCACACCTGCCCACATCGACGGTTCCCACATTCTGCAATCTCAGCCTATAAACCCGTCCAATGACATGTCCGCGTATTTTTGACTGTCAATTGACACATAGCATCTCCCGGTGACAAAGCCCCATCTATCGCATTAGGCTCGCGGCCGAGACTCCGAGCGTATTCAAATCGATTCCTTACCGACGTCCACCTGTCAATCTCCCGTTTACACATTTTATATAATGCGCAGCACAAAACGAACAGATCTCGCTGGATTGACAGCAGAATCGCGTCCCAGCCTATTTATTTCCATTTACGGCCTTATTGGTGAAATTTACCCTCACCGCGCTCTTTTAGCGGAATCTGCAAGTCCGCAATTACAAGGGCATCTCCGTCGCGGGAAATAGAGCAGGTGAAGAGGGTGGGGAGGAGGGCTGGTGAGATTACAGGATGAGAAGGAGAT